ATCATCTGAATCAGTATTCTCGGAATAAGTTTATTAGTAATTATAAGTTTATTAATAAAAATGAAAAAAATGCGGAGAGCGATTAAAAAAAATTAAGGGTGCTAATCAACCAAAATCCGAACCAATTTCCTCTTTAAAATAATGCTAATTAAGAAAAAAAACAATTTTTCCCTACCTTTGTATTTGCAGACATGGGTAATGGGTTTGAGACAATACTACCTTTTTCATAGTCCACTTTTTCATTTGCCTATAATTACAAAGCAATAATCATAAAAACGGACATTAATCTTAAAAATGGAAATTAATTATTAAAAAAGTTATAACTACTATTATTATTGAAATAATTACTCAGGAAGGGCTAAATTTATTGTCATTTTCTTCTGAACTACTTGATATCCCCCAAGAGTTGAGCAAAAAATTAGAGTTAAAGTTAGAGGATAGTTTTTACGTGAGGAAGGAAGTATTAGAAAGGAAGGAAATAGAGCGGGCGATTACGATTGAAAATGAAACTGAAATATGTTTGCAAAGACTTCTAACTGAGGAAAGTAATAAAGGAAAAATTATTGGAACTGCTAGTGGAATTGGAACAGGAGCGGCCGGTGGAGCGGCGGCTGGGGCTGGCTTAATGGTTCTTGCTGCCCCATATACGTTTGGTCTTTCACTATCACTTGTCCCGGTGGCCGCTACGGCGGGAGCCATCGCAGGAGGCTTAGGTGGAGGCACTACTGGTTTTATGACCGGGGCTTTAGTTGATAAATTTTCCAACTCGGAAATAGTTAAAATAAAAAAGGAAATAAAAGGTTTCTTGGAGGATTACAAAAAGATGGTGGAAGAAAAATCCCACGACTGCCAAGAAGAGAGTATGAAAGAGCAAAAAGAAAATTATGATAATGAAGTTAGAGAGTTAACAGCCTACATAGAAAATAGTAATAATTGAAAATAAAGAGGGCGGGGGTGGAAAATAATGTAAAATGAATATATGATGACAAGTAGCATGAAAAAGTTGACAGGAAAGGTTAAAAATGATTAGTTTCCTAATCCCAACTACTCCTGATTGTTTTTAGCCGAAAAAGTGAATGGGAACAGTTATCCAGTCTGAAAATACTAGGTGCCAGGCTACTGAGGCAAAAGTTTTAGTTCTTTGTCATGACGAAAGAAGAATCTAAAACAACAAGAAGTAGCAAATAAAAATAAGATAATTATAAAAAATAGTATGAACAAAAACAACAATATATTCAATAAAAACGAAATAGAAAATGAATTAAAAAATTTTAAAGAAGGTCAAGATTATTCAGTTTCTCCGACGGATGAACCAAATATAAAAACCTATAATTTTCATAACGATAAATTAACAAGTATATTTAGGGGTGATAGAGTGCCAGTGCGGATAACCAGAAAAGACTACGAAGGTCAAGATTATACATATCGAGGTCATTTTGAGGAAGGAAAAGATTATTTTTACTCTCACCAAACTTGGGAAGGTCAAAATATTCCGGCTGACGAGAATGGATGGATTCCAATTAGAAGTGAAATTTACAAAGGAGGTAGTGGCGATTATACAAAATTTGGTTTGAGGTTCCGACCATTAGACAATTTTGAACCAAAAAAGATGGAGCCGAGTTTTAACGATAAAGAAGTGGAAATGCACCGAAAATATTTGGCAGAGTTTCAAGAAAAAAAACATAATTTAGAAATGCTAAATATTGAGGAGCAAAATAATCCAAAAAGTTGCTGTGAAGAGCATCTCCAAGCCTGGTTGAAAAGTCCTAATCGGCCGAAATTAATTGAGGAGCGAAAAAAAGAAATTGAGGTATTGGAAACTAAAATCCAGTATGAAAAGGATTGATTAGCCAAAAATGATAATTTTGACAGCCAGCCAATCGGATGTTGTGTTTGTGGTTTTAAGGATATTCGCCCGTCAGATAATAATTGTCAGAAGTGCGGAGCGTTGCTTTGCGAGGAGGCAAAAAAGGTAAAATCTAATTTAGTCAAAGAAAACCAAGCATTACGCCAAGAATTAGCGGAAGTTAAAAATCAATTAGCCCAAGTTTTAGAGGAATTGAAAAAGTTAAAGAGTAATGTAAATGGTAAAGATAGGGAAAAGTTGAACCAGCAAATAGTTCAGAATGAGAAATTAATTAAAGAAGGTGAAAATATTTCCTTGTCCGAAATTCAAGAGCAAGTTAATAAATCACAAGCGTTAATGAAAGAGTTTAATGTTGGAGTTTCCTCAACCAAGAATGATAAAGGCAATAGTTCACTTCCTTATATAATTGGGGGTTCGGTAATCCTGGCTGCGGTGGGAATTATTGGCTACTTTCGGTTGAAAAATAAACGTAGATATTTTGCCAAAGGCCAAAAATAAACCTGGTATTTTATCTGATAAGATTAAAAAGAATAAATAAAGTTGATTAAGGTTTGGAAATACAATTGAGTTAGTTGATAGTGGGAGGGAGGGTTATCCTCCTCCCTTCTTGTTTTCTCCTAAAATAATAATATATATGAGTTAGTTGTTATATCCTATTCTCCTAATTAAAAACTACAATAAAATTATTAAATATACTTTTGAAAAATAAGTCGATTGCTCTTTCTGCTTAATTTTGAGAGGTATGTTTTTTCTACTCTCTCTTTCTTTGAAAACTGAACGCAAAAAAAGATTTTACCGAAATATAAGTTACTAAGAGTGTATGGTGGATAACTTGGGACTAATAGACGAAGAAGGACGTGATATCCTGCGATAAGTTTCGGGGAGCCGGAAAATAGGCTACGATCCGGAAATGTCCGAATGGGGCAACCCATTGCCAGTAATGTGGCAAGGTCTGAGTTTCATGATACTTAGAAGTGAACCCGGAGAACTGAAACATCTTAGTACCCGGAGGAAAAGAAAATAAATTAATGATTCCCGTAGTAGTGGCGAGCGAACCGGGAACAGCCCAAACCAATTATGTTTGTAAATTGGGGTTGTAGGAAAATGCTGATTTTAATGTCAGGAGTTACCAAGGTTATTGATAGAAGAAGTGGTTGGAAAGCCACGCCAAAGAAAGTGAAAGCCTCGTATTCGAAATCAATAACTCTCCGCATTTCATCCTGAGTACCACGAGACACGTGAAATCTTGTGGGAAGCAACGGGGACCACCCCGTAAGGCTAAATACTCATTAGTCACCGATAGTGAACTAGTACCGTGAGGGAAAGTTGAAAAGAACCTCGGAAGAGGAGTGAAATAGAACTTGAAACCATAACACTTACAAAAAGTCAAAGGGCATTAAAGCCTAATGGCGTGCTTTTTGCAGAATGAGCCGGCGAGTTATAATTATTGGCAAGGTTAA